AAGAGATCAGAGGGAAGCGAGAATTCTGCGTGAGAGAAGTGAGAATTCTGCAAGAGATCAGAGGGAAGCGAGGATTCTGTGTGAGAGAAGTGAGAATTCTGCAAGAGATCAGAGGGAAGCGAGAATTCTGTGTGAGAGAAGTGAGCATTCTGCAAGAGATCAGAGGGAAGCAAGAATTCTGCGTGAGAGAAGTGAGCATTCTGCAAGAGATCAGAGGGAAGTGAGAATTCTGTGTGAGAGAAGTGAGAATTCTGCAAGAGATCAGAGGGAAGTGAGAATTCTGTGTGAGAGAAGTGAGAATTCTGCAAGAGATCAGAGGGAAGCAAGAATTCTGCATGAGAGAAGTGAGCATTCTGCAAGAGATCAGAGGGAAGTGAGAATTCTGTGTGAGAGAAGTGAGAATTCTGCAAGAGAACAGAGGGAAGCGAGAATTCTGCATGAGAGACGTGAGCATTCTGCAAGAGATCAGAGGGAAGCGAGAATTCTGTGTGAGAGAAGTGAGAATTCTGCAAGAGAACAGAGGGAAGCGAGAATTCTGCGTGAGAGAAGTGAGAATTCTGCAAGAGATCAGAGGGAAGTGAGAATTCTTGCCCATCCCATTGCTACTGTTCCAGCCATAGTAACACAACGGCCATGCCTCTCAATGTTTGCTCTTGCGGCATCAGCATCACAGCTACCAAGTGCAGGAAGTTTTACAGAAAAGTGAGACTGGGTTGCATGAAGAAGTTTCCTTCCTTTGGGACAATCCTGTCTCTGGGTCTTCACAGTGCAACTCACGGGGCTTCTGCCCTGAGCCACATAGTGCTAGTGGGAAATAAAGGCATCTTGAATTTACGCAGCAGTTGTGGGAGGATGGAGATTAGAACCTTCCCAGGTGATTTGCTCCCCAAATTAAATGTGCAGATACATCCTTGAGTTTAGCACCACAGTTACAGGAAATTTACGTGATTTCCCCTAGAAATCCAACAGGACTTCCCTCTCAGCTAGCACATCAATGGCAATACTAGATTTTACTTTACTTATTTGTTGAATTCCTATCAAGCTATTTTTCCAAGGAGCTCAGCGCAGTGCCCCTTTTAGAGCAACAACAATCCTGTAAGAAGATAGCTGACAGATAGTGATTGGTCCATGGACACCACGTGATTGAGCAGTGATTTGAACCTGGGTCTCCTCAGTCCTAGTCCGACACTCTAACCATTTCACCATACTGGCTCTCAGCACGAGAGGTTGCATAGATTTATTTGATGCCTACTTGTTTGATAGTACTCACAGCGCAATTTCTTATAAGCAGCACAACTCCTTGTTCCACAAAATAGCACTTACTCCTCTCCCCTATAGCAATGCTTGACCTTTTTAAAACAACAACACCATTTTCCCTGTTTTGTTTTCTTTGCTTAATTCTGCAAATTACTTCCCCATTTCCAGCACTGGTCTTTAATAAAATTATTATTATTATTATTATTATTATTATTATTATTATTATTATTATTATTATTATTTTCCCCTGAAGTAAGGCTATGGTTCTCTCCTTCCCGCAATGTATAAAAAGGGGATGGGGTTTCATGCCAGTGAGACACTAACAAAAATAAACTATTCCAGGATTTTGCCACCATTAGCTCAAGGGTCAAACAAGATGTTGCATGAAACTTGCACAATTCAACCCCAGCCACCTTTTCTTTTTCTTTACAATCAGTCCTGCTTGGAGTGGTGAGAAGCAGAGAAATCACAAGGGGGGAGGGAGAGTACTTAACTCTTTCCTGCACGCCCTCACCATATTTCTGTTTCAAATTACCCCTCCCCAAACTGTTTGTTTGTTTGTTTGTTTGTTTTGCCCCTGGCGGGGTTCGAAAAGGCTTCTGGGGAGCATTATATGTATTTATAGTTAACATCCGCTTCAGCCCTCTAAGCAGTAAGTTAATAATTGGTGGTGAAAAGCCACCTTTGGATTCCATAGGCATTCTGTTTTGAGTCTATCTAACAGTCTGTGAGCTTAGATCCTCAATGATTTCCTGAGTTTAGGAAAGGATTTGAGGCTAGAGAAAAAAAGCAGGAAGAGGTGAGCTGGGAATGGATTGTGACAAAATATGGAAGTGCTGTGACTTCTTGGGTGCAACCACTTCAACCTGCAAACAGAAAAAGTCTTTGGGAATTCTTGTAATCTGGGAATTTTAGACATGTGTGGTGGGGATGGTGCAGGAATGAGCCCATCAGCTCCAACCCCCAACTCTGCCATCCACTGTGAGTTGAAGGTCAACCATTAGAAGCGAGGAGTCTGCGTCTACCCAGGTAGACTCACCACATGTCTAAGAACAATTTTGCCATGTGATTTCTGTCAACTCGATCCTAGAGAGAAAGTACAAGGAATGTATGGGCATCAAAAGGAATGAGACTGAACACTGACTACAATCGATGAAGATTGCTAGGTGTTCTTTATTCTAAGGAACATCATTGTCTGGCTATATAGTATTAGACAGGAGATCTAGAGTTGGAAAATGTGCGGGAAAGGATAGTGAAAATGATCAAGGGGTTAGTTAGAGCGCATTCCCTATGCAGAAGGGCTTTTATAAGAGAGATTTAGTTCATGATTGACAGCATGGAGAAAATTAGAAAGGTGTTGCCACCCCACCCCACCACCATCCAGTCTCATAATACTAAAAATCTGGGTTTATCCAATGAAACTGACTAGCAGGAAAGTAAGGGCAGACTAACATACAGTCGTACCTCAGAAGTCGAATGGAATCCGTTCCGGAAGTCTGTTCGACTTTCAAAACATTTGGGAACCAAGATGTGGCTTCCAATTGGCTGCAGGAAGCTCCTGCAGCCAATCGGAAGCTGCGATGGATGTTCGGGTTCCAAAGAACATTCACAAAGCGGAACAATCACTTCCAGGTTTGCGGCGTTCAGGAGCCAAAAAATTTGTCTCGCAAGGCGTTTGACTTCCAAGATACAACTGTACTTAGTTCCTCACCCAAGAAAGAATTGGTCTATGAGTTCTCTGCAATAAGATGAGGTGATGGCCACAGGCTTAGATGGTTTTAACTTTGGATTAGACATTTGTCTAATCATATCAAGGCATATGAACTAGGATAGTGAAACGCAACCTTCAGATTCATAAGTATTCCCTTAAATGCTGCTTTTGGAGGGCAAAACAGCAAGCTGGCCACTGTTGAAAACAGGATGCTGTGCTATATGGCCCCTTGATCTAACCCCAAAAGTTCTTTCCACAGAATATAATGGAAACCCCACTCCTGAAAAGATTTGCCCCTGCTGGCCCAGGATTTGAGATTTGCTGGGGAGGCCTGCTCCTGGCCCCACCAACAGCAGAAGCCCATTGCATGGCGACACAAGGGCAGGGCCTTCTTTGTGATGGCCCCGTTTCCTTCTACCTGTGAAATTCCCTCTCCCTGGAGGCGTGGTTGTTGCCCGCACTAACTCAGTTTCCGGCAGCATCTTCAGACACTTCTTTTCACTCAAGGCTTTGGGGAGAGGCTGGTATGTTTTAGGAACAGGTGAACTGTATTGGTGTGATGGTTGCAATACTGTTTTAAAGCAACAGCTGAGGTTTTAAACGGCTTTTGCTGGACGCGTTGTTTTTAATCACCTTTTGGAAACCACCTCTTTCAAAACTGAACAAATCAACCGCTTAAAGAAGCAAACTTTCAACCTTTGGAATGAATAAGTGACACTTCAGAATAGCAACCTTCGGTGATAACACAGATGGAAGGAGAGAACATGAGGAACTAAAGGAGGCTGGCTGACTTCTTAATCATTTGAAACCACAGAGGCTGCGTTGTTGGCTGGTGCCCATTGGGAGTGGTAGGTCAAAAGACTGGGAACCTAACAGTAGGTGGCGCCAGAGTCAACTGTCCCCATCCTCCTCCCTGCTGAGTTCTACAAGGGCAACACTGAGATTAAGGAGGAAGGGAATCTGACAACCAGGGCCACTACCCTGCAAGCAGGAAGGTGCAGGCTGGGTGAGGCAGGCAGAGAAGTTGGTGGGGCAGTGCCCCACCAGCACAGATGGACCAGCCTCCACTGCAGAGGGGGAATGAGTATGGAACGGTATGAGGGAGAACTGTCTCAGGTCATGAAAGCCGGAGGGTTTCAGAGATGTTGAGAGCTGTGGTTTGCCAAAATCAGGTAAGGTGAGCAGCAATGGTTATAAGCAGGAGGTGGACATCTATGATGCAGCCATCTAAGAACAGGAAGCTACACATTCCAGGGGACCAGAAGAAGATCAAGAGCACTGGGGAGAGCAGGTGAGGAAAGATGGCTGATTCCACAGTGCTTTTGGCTTACGTTTTCTGGGATCAAATTGGATTACTGAAGGGGGGGGTGGGGAGAAATCTGAAATGGGCAAGGTTAGCAGGCCTCACTGAGATTTTTTGTTGTTGGAATTGCACAACAAGCTGTTTAAATTTGGGGTTAGTGGACATGGAAACTGGAAGGATTGGCCCGGCTTACTTTGAAGAGTGATGGCTAAGTGGAGAGGGGAAATATGCAAATGGTGGATGCTGGAAGGATGCAGTAAGACAAGCTTCTGCCCATTGGTGGACCCAGAAAAACTTGAGCGTATCATCATCATCATCACTTTTAATTTGTATACTGCCTTTCTATCTTACAATACTGAAGGTGGTATTGATTAGATGATCCTAGGAGAAGATTAGTGGGCTTCAGAAACTTCAAGATCTGCTGCAGGATCATGCAGCACAAGGGATCCTGTTTCTCTTCCAGATTCGTGCTGGAATGCCAACTCCCATCCTCCTCGACCACTGGCCACGCTGGTTGGGGCTGATAGGAGTTGGAGTGCTCAATTTTTTTGGAGGGAGCCTCTGACGGGAGTTGCTGGGGAGGGGAGTGCCAGAAGGTTTAAGGTTAGGCTAGGGGGCAGAGATCATGGGGGCGTCTTGGAAGTGTGTGTTCTGGGAGGTGGGGTGGATGTGGGGGGGAGGTCAGGCCGGCGGGGTGGAAATGGCAGCGGCGTCGGGCGCGTCACTCACCGGATCCCTCGGCCGTGACGATGGCCTCCGGGGAGATGCAGACGCCTCGGTCGTAGACGGGCAGTTCTTCGCAGGCCAGGCTCTCGGGCCACGCGTGGCCGTACTTGACGAGTACGGGCTCGCAGCCGGCGCGGGCCCTCTCGCACACGGATTTGCAGGGCTTGATGGGCTCGTGCTGGAAGTCGATGGTGCAGATGGGCGCGTACATGGCGCACAGGAAGAAGAGCAGGTCGGCGCTGCAGTGGATGCCCAGTAAGCCCTCGAACTGCTCCATGGCCAGGATGGCGTTGGCCTGCGTGCTGTGGTGCAGGTGGTTGGGCATCTTGGTCATGTTCCAGGGCAACGACTTGCACAGCGGGATGCGCACCGGCTCGCAGGACGCGCCCGCGGCCGGCGGCGGCGCCCAGCTCGCCAACAGCCCGCCCAGGGCGGCCAGCAAGGCGGGCGGCGGCAGCAGCAGCGCCACCATCGCCCTCGCCGAGGAGCAGCCCGACGGCGGAGACGTCCGCGGCGGCGCCCCCCTCCGGGGCAAGACCCTCGCGCCGCCGAGAGAGCTCTCCTTCCTGACCCCGCGCGGCGGAGGGACTGCTCCGGGGTCCGCCCCCTTCTCTCCCTCGGGGACCAGGTCGACCCCTCTTGCAAAAGTCCGGGTTGAGGTAGGGGGGGTTGTGGAAATCGGAGGGAACTGGCTGGTACAAGGGGTGGGCGCTCCTCTTCTCTACATCGGGAAGGAAGGCGACTTTGGAGCGGCGCGCAGAGGGACTTGGAGACGTCGCCCAAGAAAAAGTTTTGGAGGAGAGAGAAATCGCGCTGCTGGTCGATCTCGGCTCGGGCTGCTGGCTGCACAGGCGAGACCGGCTTCGCTTGTGTGCGGCTGGTGGAATCAGCCCCCTTTTTCACTTTCCACCTCCTAGCCAAGGAGCCCCGGCTCCTCCTCTTTCTGCGCCGCGCGCTCCTGGTCCCACCCCTCTCCGCCGCCTCTCTGTTCCTTTGCAAGGGAGGAAAGAGGTTGTTGGGGGGTGGAAGACGAGAAGGAGCGAGGAACTGCATGACCTGAGGCTCGCATCCACTCCCATCAGTTATAAGTCACTGCTTGTCGTCTCCCACCCCTGGCTCTTCTGCTTATCCCCTTGGAAAGTTGCAGGCGCGCGCTCCTCTCCATCTGTCGCTTTCTCGTTTCTGCCTCCGGCTGCCAGAAAATAAAATAAAGGTGATCCTTGTGAAGGGATTGGCTCTCCGAGGTGGCGGACGGGACACCCACACCGTCGAAGGAGCATAAATCTAAAAGGCGGCGGCGGGGGGGGGGGCAGAGAACAGGCTGGATTTCCAAAAACCATTTTTTTACTTTAAAAAGCAGCAGCGCGTGCTCGCGCGCGCTTTCCTTTCCCCATAAATATCCCTAATGAAAAACAACGACAGCGAGGTGTTAATCTCCACCTCTGCTTAAACAATCCTGTTTGAACTTTCTGTTTTCTTTCTCCAGCAACTGAAATAAAGGGAGCTCTCTCTCTCTCTCTCTCTCTCTCTCTCTCTCTCTCTCTCTTTCTGGCTTAAGTCTGCCGCAGCTGCCCTCTCTGCAAAAAAAAAAAAGAGGCTTTTCATTGTCCTGGCTGTATCCCCGCTTCTCCCCCCCCACCCCCACCCCCATAAATATCTCTGGGAAAACTTGCTCCGCAGTGGCCAAAGGAAGCTCTTTCCACGTGGATCCAGATGCATTTAATCTAGGGGAGAAAATAGAAAGCAGATCTCCGCTCACCAGCAGCAATTCACCCCAGCCCACCCCCCACCCCTCTTTCCAGCTTCCAGCTAATCTCCTTTTCAGGGCATGGCAGAGAATGCAATGACCTAGGGGGGCACCAGTGTCCCGCTCCATGGCAAAGAGATACACACACACACACACACACACACACACACACACACACACCCGAGGCGGAGCGGTTGGGGGAGCAGTTTGAAACTATTCATCGGAGGGCGGCAGAACTCTCCGGGAGAGACAAAATAACAGGAAATCACCTTTGCTCTCTCTCCCCTTAAAATATGCCTTTGTTTTCTGCCGGTTCTTTCTCTCCCAGCTGATCCGGCCCAGAGGAAACTGATACCCTCTGCTCTCCCTCTGCTGCGTCTTTCCCAAAGCGCCCGCGATAATACACAGTGCTCATTGATTTGACTTGCAGGGAAAAGTTAGAAGGGGATGGAAGGATGGATAGATAGATAAATGTAGATAGTTCTGCTTCCCTTGAGATGCGCAAGAGGAGTTCCTAGCTGCTGGCATGGGCACAGCGGGGGCGGGCAGCTGCCCCCCTAAATCAAGTAAATAAATAAAAATACGTTTTGTTATTAATATTTTATTGAGAAATTTTCAATTATAAAGTGATACAAAGAGTGTGTAAAGGGGGGAAAATATATATGAATATATATAAAAAACATCCTAACCCATACATTCTTTATTATGTTATCATATTATCAGTCCACTGATTCAAGGAGATCATTTCTTTATTCTTCCAGTTCCAGGCCTGATATTGATGAACTGGAACCGGAATAAATAAAAATACTTAACAAACTGACTATTTGCATTGCAGGTAACTCAGTTCTGTCCCCCAACATAAAGCCAGCCACCCCCCTAAAATAAATCCTGGCTACCCCCATGACTGCTGGTGGGGAAGATCATTAACAGGGACAAGGAAAATTAAGCTGCACCCTACATTGAAAGCTCTGCTACACCACTTTAACAGTCATGGCTTCCCCCAAAGCATCAAGGGGACTGTAGCTTGTTGAAGAGTACAGTTAGGAGAGCCCCTCTTCCCGTGTCAGAGCTACAATTCCCAGAGTTCACAAGACTGAGTGTTAAGCCATTCCGAAAACTGTAGCTCTGTTAAGAGGAATAGGGTTCTCCTACAATTCCCATGATATGGGTGTTAAAGTAGCACAATAGTGCTTTAAAAGTTTGGGCAGATGTGGCCTTTAATATATTGAAGTAAATTACTCTGCCATTCATATATTAAATTGCATAAATTTGGGCACAAATAAGACAAGGTTTTTGTTGTTGTTTAAGGCTGTTGTTTTTTAAGAGAAGATTTAGGTATGCACTGCGTCAAGAACCATCTATGAAGAAATCTCCTGTGTGAGAGACAAGGAGGACTCCTCAGGGATGGTACTTGCAATCCATAGTTTTTTCTATGTGCTAATATTTTTTAAAAATATTAATAATAACTGTTTTTAAAATGTATGTCCCAATTAATCCAAATCACTTCTTTAGCTGATCAGAATGCTTTTTTGAGTGATTTCACCTCTTAATCAACTAAAAAAAGTGCCAGCCCTATCATTTACCCATTCTGAAACCATTTTATATAAATCAGAGAGTGAAGCAGCATTCAAGCCCACAGATTTCAGGAGCCTTAAAGACGCTTTACGTTGAGGGAGTTATTATATTGCTTTAAATGGACCTAGCTGATCTAATCATGGCTAGCTTTCAGTTTGCAGAGACCCTTGGTAAAATAAGCTTTGGTGTGTGTTCCCCTTCCCCCTTTTGCAGGTGAGTCTTTGTCAGATTTCTTAGAGGTAGCAGACAGCACCAGACAGGGTCTGGAAACTGCTATTGAAATTTCCCATAATGCCCCCATGTGGTGTCACACCAGTGCATTGTGGGAATATCTTTGAGCAAGTGTCAGTAGTGAGACCCAGGGGTGGCATGCTTATTCTGGGCCTGGATCTGGTATTTTTCTGTCTTGTTTTGAAGGGATGAGATTGGCTTCATCTTCCCTTCACAAGCTTTCTGTTGCTTTCTGTATTCCACCTCTCTATCTGCCAAGACTCAAACTGCAAACCTGGTTTCCAATTAGAGACTTACGTGGGTTTTGCAGAGAACTTACGGCAAGTGGGAGGAAGACAGGACTGCAAGAAATCTGTCTGCGAATCCATTACAGATCTGCTAATACAAATGGTTGTGAAAACTCACCCCAGGCTGACACTTGGCAGGAATGTTTAAATCACAGCCCCGAAGAGAATGTTTTACTGGGATTCAACTTCCACAAACATCAGTTGATTTTGTGTGTGTGCGCGCGTGCGGAAACCAAACAGCCATCCCATCCCACATCAACAGCAAATCAGATGGGCATATTATAGATTGATATTATCCAAGGTTGTTTTTGAGGAGATGCAAGTTCACTGCCATCAAGTTCATGGTTGCTCCAGGATTTTTATCAGGCTCTGGATGTTAGCTAGTAAAGCTTTTCTGCTTTGCAATGCAGTAACAGTGTTGCCATATTTACAAAGTGTTTTTACATGTCTGAATATGAAGGGAATGGCCATAGAGCAGATGTGAGATACCTAGTTATCTCCCACTTGGACTACTGTGATACGCTCTATGTGGGGCTACCTTTGAAGGTGACCCAGAAACTACAATCAATCCAGAATGTGGCAACTAGACTGGTGACTGGGAGTGGCCACCAAGCCCATATAACACCGGTCCTGAAAGACCTACATTGGCTCCCAGTATGTTTCTGAGCACAATTAAGTGTTGGTGCTGACCTTTAAAGCCCTAACAGCTGGAGCTCAGTATACCTGAAGGAGCGTCTCCACCCCCATCATTCAGCCTGGACACTGAGGTCCAGCTCCGAGGGCCTTCCGGTGGTTCTCTCACTGTGAGAAGTGAGGTTACAGGGAACCAGGCAGACGGCCTTCTTGGTAGTGGTGCCTGCCCTGTGGAACGCCCTCCCATCAGATGTCAAGGAAATAAACAACTATCTCTATCTGACTTTTTAGAATACATCTGAAGGCAGCCCTGTTTAGGGAAGTTTAATTTCATGTTTTATGTTTTTAATACTTTGTTGGGAGCCACCCAGAGTGGCTGGGGAAACCCAGCCAGATGAGCAGGGTATAAATAATATGTTGTTGTTGTTGTTGTGTCTGATCTACAACCACCATCAATGATTAGGTCCTGCCTTCCACGTCCTTCCACCACCATGCATGGACACCTCAGTTAGGTGTGCGCATGACCCAACAAAGTAGAGACAGAGGTAGGTGCAGGTGAGTGTGTTTGCAAACTTCCAAACTTTGCATGTCTGGAATGTGTGGTCTACTGTATAAAGGTAAGACTTAGATCCCTTGTTTCCCCAACTTTTGCCTGTGGCCCCACACCAAAAAAATTGCATTTGGCCCTCGAAGCATTGCCCATGGGAGAACGTTGGCTGGAAAAGGTTCTCCATTCCTGGTATATGGTTATGTCCTTAAAACTTACTCTGGAGTTGCACCTACACCAGATGAAATTCCTCAGCCTTAAAAAAAAAAAAAAGTATATTGGCTTCTAAATTGTGGTTAAATGGCTCTTTTCACCATGTAGATCAGCTCCTTGTGTATACTTAACCAATCTGTTTACCTTAGCCCCACAGTAAGTGCTTTCTACTAGCAGGGCAGAGTCAACACAGCTTAGGGACAGTGTCAATTTGTACTCTGGCTAACACCTCAGCAGTTTCTAAACAAACTTCAGCTCACCTTAATTATCTGTGGCTAGTACAGCAGGATAATTAATTCCACTTCGCCAGATGGTTATCTGTCTGCCGTGATACTGCAGTAAAAATCCCTTTTCTCAATTTGTCAATAATTCAACCCAAAGTGAGAACTGAGCAAAATTTTGCAGTATATTTGTAGAATTGCATTTCTCCATTTCCAGTACAGTGGTACCTTGGGTTAAGAACTTAATTCGTTCTGGAGGTCTGTTCTTAACCTGAAACTGTTCTTAATCTGAGGTACCACTTTAGCTAATGGGGCCTCCTGCTGCCGCTGCATGATTTCTGTTCTCATTCCTGAAGCAAAGTTCTTAACCCGAGGTACTATTTCTGGGTTACTGGAGTCTGTGACCTGAAGCGTCTGTAACCTGAAGCGTCTGTGACCCGAGGTACCACTGTAATATGTAGGCTCTTCACAGTCACCCACCTAAGGCCCAGAATAATTGTATTTAAATACATATGCAGACCCTCCAAGTGTCCCTATTTTCTAGGGACATCCCTGATTTAGGGAAGCTGTTCCGGTTTCTGATTTGATCCTGGAATGTCACATTTTTCCTTAGGATGTCCATATTTTCATTGGAAAAATATTGGATGGTGTGGAATTATCCGACCCCCCAAAGCTGTCTGAAGGCAATCTTGTATAGGGAAAGGTTGTTTTTTTTAAAGTTTAATGTTTTATTCTGTTTTTATATATGTTGGAAGCCGCCCAGAGTGGCTGGGGCAACCCAGTAAGATGTGTGGAGTATAAATGGCAAAATTATCATCATGGAATGT